CCCCGGGGCCGCCTCGTCCCCCTTCCCCGGGCCGCGGTTCAGCGCCGGTCCCTGGGGGAGGTCCCGGGTGCGTGGGGAGCCAGCACCGGAGCCAGCCCCAACCTCCGAGCCAGCCCCAGCCCCGGCCCCAGGAGCCAGCCCCGGCCATGGGTGTGATGAGAGCGCCAGTACTCAGCCACGACAGCGAGGAGGCTGTGTCCGCACTCCCACCGCCACAGGCTCCTGCCTGGCCAGCACGTCCCAGCCAGCTCGCCAGTGTGCTGAGCGGGATTCCTGGAAAACAAACCCTTGTCGATGAGGGTCTGTGCTGCGTCCTGCCTGGGCCAGTTCCCAATTCTGCCTTCTTTTCCCCGCACAGGTGCTTTGGCGTGGCTGGTTGCTGCTAAGGTCCCTGAGGACGCCCTTCTCGGGTGGAAACGTGGCTTTGCCAACGGCGCGGGCAGAGATGAGGACAGCGGAGGACTCAAATGGGACGGTCCTGCACCGCCTGATCCAGGAGCAGCTGCGCTATGGGAACCTCACGGAGAACCGCACGCTGCTGGCCATCCAGCAGCAGGCCCTGCGTGGCAGCGGCGGTAGTGGCGGTGCCGGTGGTGCCGGCAGCCCCCGCTCCTCCCTGGAGAGCCTCAGCCCGGAGGAGAGCCAAATGGTTCAGCAATCCACACGGCAGGAGCCCCAGGGCCAGGAGCATCACTCCGACCACGTCTACTTGGAGAACAGCGTTTATCGGCTCTGCCAACCCCATAGTGGCGGTGCCGGTGGTGCCGGCAGCCCCCGCTCCTCCCTGGAGAGCCTCAGCCCGGAGGAGAGCCAAATGGTTCAGCAATCCACACGGCAGGAGCCCCAGGGCCAGGAGCATCACTCCGACCACGTCTACTTGGAGAACAGCGTTTATCGGCTCTGCCAACCCCAGCACAAGGGTGAGGAGCTCCCGACCTACGAGGAGGCCAAGGCGCATTCCCAGTACTATGCCTTGCAGCGGGGCAGCCAGCAGCCTGGAGGGGCCAGCCTGGGAATTTGGGGTGAAAACAGTCCGCGCGGGGCCGAGAGCGGCACCCGACGCCCTGACGAGGGGCTGAAGGACCTGAAGCATGGCCATGTGCGGTCGCTGAGCGAGCGGCTGATGCGGATGTCGCTGGAGAGGAATGGGGCCAAAGCACAGAGCCCCATCAGCGCCTCCCACAGCTACCCTCAGCTCTTCCGCCACCACCAGCTCACTGCCCTCCGAGGGCAGCACCCCGAGGGGCTGGAGCCACGAGGACCCCCCCCGGAGTATCCCTACGTCATCCCATCCCAGGACGCTTACCTGGCCGAACCCCAACCCTGCTCCCGGGAAGGTCCTGGATTTCAGCATCCTGAAATCAGGTAACCTGCAGCCCCTGGGCCCTGCTTTTGGGGTGCCCACTGGGTGCCTCCCAGCTGTGGTGCCCCAGAAGCGGCCAGGATGGATGCTCAGAAGATGTGGGATGTGGAGAGCAGTGGGGGGCCTGGGGCAGCTGTTGCTGATCCCCTTGTCCTTATGGGGCTGGATCCAGCTCAGCCTGCAGGGATCTGTGGGGATGCCTCCAATCCTCTCTTTTCCCCAGTTTCCCCCATCACAGTTGGTTTTTTCCAACTGGTGATGAAAATCCCGTTGCCTCCGCAGACCCTGCCCCCTCCCCATGTGCTGGGAGGATTTTGGGGTTAATTTAGGAGCTGGAACCAGCTCAGGAAATGGCTAAATTTAGAACAATCATGGGGCAGGGTGGAAGGCAAACACGTTCCCCACTCCGTGGAAACCCACCCCAGTTTGCCCCCAGTTCTGCAGGATTGCTGCCGAGCCGAGCCCAGGCTGGTGCGGGGCAGTTAGCAGAGGCAATGAGCAGCACCAGGCAGCTTTCCCCTTCCCTTCAGCAGCTTGACGCCTCTGGCAAAGCCCCACGTTGTCTCTGAGAGGGCCACGGAGAGGTCTGGGGAGCCCGGAGATCCAGGCATTGCCTGGCATTTGGGGAGGGCTGGAAGCAACTTCTTCCAGTCCAGAAAACAATGGGAAGAAGGGAATTGGAGGCTCGATGGGAGGACGCACGCTGCTCCCAGCCCTGCTGACCTATCCAGGCAGAGAGCGATAGCATCTCCGGCAGGAAAACCTTCTCCTTCCAGGGAACAAAGAGGGGAAGGGGAGCCGCGAGGAAGATGTATTTATTCTTCCTCGCTCCTATATCATCCCGCAGGAATGCAGGCCCTTGGCGGGCAGCCCGTGGTGGAGCAGGGCTGGGCCGTGCACAGCCACCCCACTTGGGGTATTCAAGGCGGCTGTGGGATGTCGAGGAACTTGGAGCGGCTGCGTGAGGGGTGGTGGGGCTGGCCCTGCTCCTCCGAATATGGCAAGGACGTATTAATAGTTTGGTGGTGAGAAGCCGTGCCAGGAGCCCTCGCTTTGCCCAGAAAACAAGGAAAAGGGGCAGCGCTGCCGGCTTCCAAGGTGCATCCTTTGCCGAGCTGTCGTCCATCTGCAGCATCCCCAGCAATAGAGTGGGCCTGGGGATATGGGAGCCCATCCTGACCCACCAGCCAGGTCCTGGAGTTGTCAGGTCAAGGCATCCCTGAGAGATGGGGTTTATTTCGTGTTCGAGGGTGCTTGGGTGAGCATGTTTTAGAAAGCAAACGCTTCCCAGCTCTGAAAAGCAGGATAGGCGCTTCCTGCCTCCCTCCTCCTTTGGGGTGACCTGGAGGCACCAGCACCCGCTTGGCCCATGGGTTTGGAGTGGTCAGTGGCACGCTGGAGATGCAGTCGGCTCTCCCGCCCTGCCAAGCCCCTTGACCATCCCTCTCTTCCCTCCCTGCAGGGTGCTGCCCACCCATGTCCCCACCACTTTCCTGCCGCCATCGGGTGCCCTGTGCCCAGGCACGCTAGGTCCCGCCAGTGTGGAGGCACTGGTGAGCGTCCAGGCGGTCTCGGCCAGCAGCCGCCTGGCCCGGGCAGACGCAGTCCTGCGGGAGAACGAGAGGCTCCAGCGGGAGAGTGAGAAGCTGCGGCGGGAGCTGGAGAGCTGCGCCGAGAAGGCGAGCCGCATCCAGAAGGTAAGCAAACAGTGGCAGCCCCATGGCCAGGGCTTCATGTCCCCCCACCCGGGGGGATGCTCAACCAGCTGCTGTGAAAATTCACCCCCTTTAGCGTTTTAATCCCTTCTCCCCTCCCTCCGGCAGCTTGTTCCCCTCCAAGCAGCTGTGTTTTGGCAGCGTGGCAGCCGGGATGGGGGAGAAGGAGCCCATTCTCCAGTGACCCCCTCCCTCTGCCTGTCCCCCTCATCCCCGGCCACCACAGAAAGCCCTTTGTGCAGCTGCGTACAAGGGGCGGCTGTTCCCCACCGGCCAGGCTACGGTGAAGCCAAAACCTGCGGAGGGACTCTTCTGCAAGAAGAAAGGCAGAAAAAATCAGTTTTTCCCCCAAAACGTACACTGGGGGTCAGTCTAGGGGGGGTCCCATGGGTGCGCTGAGCTCCTCTGGCAGCTTGGGTTGGGCTGAGCAACCCGGGTGAGCTTTGGCCAACGTCTCCCTTTCCTTTCCTCATTCCACAAATATCTAACCCCAGCCTGTCCCTTCCTCTGCCCCAGCTGGAGAGCGAGATCCAGCGCATCTCAGAGGATTATGAAAACCTTGTCAAGGCGTCTTCCAAGCGGGAAGCCTTGGAGAAAGCCATGAGGAACAAGAGAGACGGCGAGATGCGACGGCTCCAGGACTTTAACCGAGACCTCAAAGGTGAGGGACCCTCCGTGTCCCCATCCCCGTGGGCGCTCTCTGTCCTCCGGCTTTTCCCTCTGGGTGTTTCCACGGGAAGCCAGGCTTCTCCCACTTCCCCTGGCTGAAATCTTGTATTTAAATCTTAATTGGGTTTAATTGCCTTTGGACCAGAGCGGTTGGAATCGGCGAACAAGCAGCTGGCCAGCAAGACCCAGGAAAGCCAGGAGAGCAACCAGGGCAGCGTGGCCAAACTCCTGGCACAGAGTAAGTCTCCGGGGATGCCCGTCCTCGCCCGGCTCCCTGTGGCATCTGTGAGTGGGATGGCGGGGCTCAGCACGCTGCCTTTCGGCTGGAGGAGGAGGAGGCGGGTGGCGGGCGGCAGCTCTGGCCCTTCCCCGGGGAGGATGGAGCTGCTCTTGGCGCTGGACTCGAGCCATTAATCCCGGCCGGCCGGCTGGCGGCGTGACCCACATTCTCCGCATTCCTGCTGCCGCGCCGGCTCTTCCAGCACCGAGCCCACACTCCCACCCCGCGCCAGCCCGGCCCTTCTCTCTCTCCTCCCTCCTATGCCTCGCAGCTGCGCAGGCTTGGGCTTTTTTTGGGGAAAATATACCTAAAGCCATTATTTTAGCAGAGAGACATGGTATTGGTTTTAGGTGGGAGGAATCACGTCCCCTTCCCTAAGGTGGCTGGATTCACGCCAGGCAGCTTTTACCCTTCATGAGCCAAAATTTAGGCTGGAACGTGGCAAATGTAGGCTTTCGTCCATCTGCCCGAGTGGCTGGGATGTCCCTGGCCCCCATATACCTTGTGTGCTGGGAGAGGGATGGCACAGCCACATTTTGGGGAGCAAAGAGCCCCCATGGGGCTTCGTGGACCAGCCTTAGGGTGGCGAAGCCTCCTCGTCTGAGGCTTGGGGGCTCTCTTGCAGGCTATGAGCACCAGCAGGAGAAGGAGAAGCTGGAACGGGAGGTCTCCCTGCTGCGCAGCGCCAACGAGGACCAGCGGCGGCGGGCAGAGCTGCTGGAGCAGGCACTGGGCAGTGCCCAGGCACGGGCGGCCAAGGCGGAGGCCGAGCTGCGGAAGAAGCGGGCCTACGTAGAGAAGGTGGAGCGGCTGCAGGCAGCCCTGGGCCAGCTCCAGGCCGCCTGTGAGAAGCGCGAGCAGCTCGAGCTGCGGCTCCGCACCCGCCTGGAGCAGGAGCTGAAGATGCTGCGGGCTCAGCAGGTGGGTGCTGGTGAGACATGGCAGTGGGTGCTGGCAAGACATGGTGGGTGCTGCATCCTCCCAGCACCTCCTCATCCTCTCTTTTGGGATTTTTTTTCTGCTGCAGAGGCAGGCGGGCACCGCGGGCGGGGGGACGCCGGAGCTGAGTGCTCACACACTCTCTGAGCAGCTGAGGGAGAAAGAGGAGAAGATCCTGGCCCTGGAGGCTGACATGACCAAGTGGGAGCAGAAGTACCTGGAGGAGTGCACCATGCGGCAGTTTGCCATGGATGCTGCAGCCACCGCGGCTGCCCAGCGGGACACCACCCTCATCAGCCATTCCCCGCGGCATTCCCCCAACAGCAGCTTCAACGAGGACCTCCTCCTGGCCAGCCACAAGCACCAGGAGATGGAGAACAGGTAGGCCCACCTCGCCGGCAAGCTTGCGCCGTGGTCTGGCCAGGCAGTGCCTGCATCCTCCTCCCCTACCTCTGGCTCCTCTCCCAGCTTCTGCCTCTTCTCCTCTCCAGGTTAAAAGCCCTTCACGCCCAAATCCTGGAGAAGGACGCCGTCATCAAGGTCCTGCAGCAGCGCTCACGGAGGGACCCCAGCAAAGCTCTCCAGGGCTCCCTGCGGCCAGCCAAGTCCGTGCCCTCCGTCTTCGCCGCCTCTGCTGCCCTGAGCTGGCCAGGGGCTGGCCAGAGTGACCGGTTGGCCGAGGGCAGCTCCCGGGGCAGCACAGGTAAATAGAGGCACCTGCCCGTTCCCTGCCTTTGCTTCGTGGCAGGGAGTTGCCTGCAATTTCTCCTGAGGTTTTGGAAGTAGAGGGACTGGGGAGGGGGGGTTTCTCCAATGAGCCATAGGGACCGTCCGGAGGAGCTGGCAATCCCTAACGGCGTCTCCTCCAGCAGGCAAAGCCACTGCCGAAGGGACAGCAGCACCCGCTGCCCTCCCCCTGCCCTCCCACTCCAAGCATGGCAGCAAGGATGGCAGCACGCAGACGGACGGGGTGGCCGAGAGCAGCGGCCAGGGTGAGGGCACTGAGTGCCAGGCCGGTTTGCTGGGTGAGTCCCCTGGGGATGGCACGGGGGAGAGCTGGGGATGCTCCAGCACATGGGCTTGGCATCCAGGAGACGGGCTTTGCACAAGCATTGATGATTTTTTAAGGCATTTTAAAGGCCCCAGTTGAGTCTGGTGGGTTTGAATCCCTGCAATCACTCATTGCTTTTTTGTTTTTAAGGCGCAGAGCTTTTTTCTTGAACACCCTGGGGGGAGGCTGGACCAGCGGTATGCTTGCTGCCGGCCCTTTGGTGGGGTGGGTGCCATGCCGATGCTCTTCACCTCTCCTCCAGCTCTCACCTTCTTTCTCTGTAGAGAGCTCGGCCGCTGCCAGAGCCCTGGACCTGTCTGACATGGTGGAGATCCTGATTTAAGGCCACCCAGGGGCTGCACACTGGCCCCTCTGCCCTCCCTGCCTGCTGCACAGGCAGAGCCGCCCTGCCTGCACCTGCCTGGGACAGAGGAGCCTGCGGGAAGGAGGACTGAGCCTGGAGCTCAGCGGCATCCCTGCGGCTGGTGGCTGGAAGGCCACTGTCCCCACTCAGCACCTGCATGGGTCCCCAGCTGTGTGGGGAGCACTGGAGCCCCGGGACCCCACAAGCGGCGGTGGGGGCTCACGACCCTTCTGTAAATACACTTGGGTTTTGTACGACGGAAGCAAATGTATTTATCGTTTCTGCCTCTTCTCCTTCCCGAGGTGGGGGCTTTCTTCCCATCCCCTTCCTTGTTGGCTCCATCCTCATCACAGCTCCAACCCCATCCCACTCCTGGGTCTTGGTCATCCACATCCACTGAAGCGCTTGGACTCCAACTGGAATTTCCCGCTCTGCTTGCCCGAACTGTACCCACAAGCTGATGTCTCTGTGCAAGGGCAGAGCCGGGAGGGATCCTCCGCAGGTCCCATTGACTGCCCGGATCCACGTGGCCAAGCAGAGCGCCGGGAGCCCCAAACCTCCATCATCTGCATCTTGCCTCTGGGTTTTCAGCACAGGGTGGCAGTGAAGCAAAAGAGAAAATGGTAATTGAGGGAATGAAAGGCGGAGGAGAAATCCCCTTGAAGCCAGAGGTGAAACACTCGGAGTGAACTGAGGACGGCTGATGGAGGCAGTGGGACGTGCTGCCCCTCTTGTGGCTTCATCCCACTGCCACATCCCCTGGCTACTGGCAGGGGGGCTCTGCCCCCGCCCGTAGCCAGCGCTGACATCTCGCTCCTCTGAGCTCAGACACTTCCCGTCCTTGCCCTTCGTGTATGTGTATGTATATGTATTCTGCCCGTAGCCAGCGCTGACATCTCGCTCCTCTGAGCTCAGACACTTCCCGTCCTTGCCCTTCGTGTATGTGTATGTATATGTATTTTTTTTCTTTCTTCTTTAAACGTGTGCATTTGCTGGACAACTGCATTTTTTATTTTTCTCTCCCAGACACGTAAAAAATGCGTTCGGTTCTCGTGCATTGTTTACAAGGTGGAAAACAAACAAACAAAAAATTATGAAAGAGGAAAAAAAAACCCCACAACTTAATATATTTTATATTAATATTGGTATTTCTTTTTAAGTATTTTTTTTCGTGCTGTGAACTTTTTTTTTCCCCTGCCAAAGACGATGAGTTCTTGTTTGTGCGTTTTAAGTTATCTTAAGTATTTAAACGTAAACCTGGCTGTTTCGTTATGCCGCCCTATACCGAGATTGCTGTAGCATTCCACTTGGTATAACAATATTTTAATAAAAAAACCCCAAATATTGATCCACAGGCACTCTTTTTTCCCATGTGATGGGGCGAGACGGAGGTGCCACCAGGGGGAAGGGGTCTAGGGGTGGTGACCCCCTGGCTGAAACATTGCCCTTCCCAGCTCCAGAGGGCAGCAATTTGGGAGAATAAATGGTCAAGAGCATCTCTGCATTCCCCAAAATCCCACTGGGATCCCATTTCCCTCACCTCGATTGGGGGAAAAGGATGGAGTTGCCTAGAAATGTCGATGTAGTTTCCTTCCTGCGTGTAGTGCTCTGGTAAGTCCATCCTGGTGGGATCCTGCCCTCCTAAGTCCCCCCTGCAGGGACTCCTCAACGGCATCTCCAAGCACAGCTGGACCTTCCTGGTCCCCAACGTCCCCCGTGGCTTTGCAGCCACCTCCAAGCCCTTCCCACCCTGCTCAGCTCCTTGGTCTTCTGGAAGACCAGAAGTTCTCCTGGTGTTCAAGCTAGGGTTGCCTTAAGTCTTCCACAGCCATGCCGTACTGCTCCCCAGCCCTTCCCCTGTGAGCTTCTTGCTCACTGCTGTCATTTGACTCTTATTTTTAATAGCTGTCGCATTAATGCTTCCAGGGGGCATCCCTGGGGACTCTGCTCTGGCTGCCTGGGTGCTGGCAGCCTGGCTGGAGCCATCACCAGCCGGGCTGGGGCTTTCCCTTCTGTGCAACACTTGGCATTTATTGGCAGCTCATTTTTTTTTTTTTTTTTTTTTTTTATCCTGCTGTCCCTGGGGACTAGGAGATCTTGTGCAAGTCTCTGCAATGGGCTTTAGCTCAGATTATGCAGAACAATGGCATAAGAAACCAGCTTTGCTGCCAACTCCTCCCTGGAAGGTGGCTTAGGACTCCATTGAGGATCACTGATCTTGGTGGGACTGCGATGCTGAATGCCGGCTTAGTTCTACCCTTCCCACCCAGGAACCTAGAAGGAGCGTGGCTGAAAATTTGGGGCTTCCTGTGGCTGTGGAACAGGTCTACAGCCCTGCAAGAGCAGGTTAGAGAGACTCAGAGCAATGGGAAGCTCGGAGCTGGGCTCCTCCTTCCACCCATGGCTTCTCCTGGGTTTTGCAAGCAGGGAAACAAGCTCCCCCTGTGCACAGGGCATGTCTGAAGGGAACCCTTCTGCCCTCAACAAAACAGGGCCAGCGATGGGGAGGACTGGGTGGGAAGCTCACAGGGAGCTGCTGCTGCTGGGAATATGTCAGGGGGTCCCGGCAACCCCCAGCCAGGGGCCGTACCTGCCCTGCCTCCCCCAGCTTCTGCTGCCCCAGAGCTGCAGGCAGCCGCCCGGGAAGGCTTGCAGCATTCCTGGCATACCGCAGCTCTCACGCCCCACGCTTTATTTACCCAAATCCGGATGTGGAGCGGCCTTGTGGCAGGTCTGGCTGTTTGCAGGCAGCTTTCCGGGTGCAGGGATTCAGGGAATGGGCTCCTGTTGAGAGCTTTGCCCACTGCTTGGCCACCCTCTGTCCTGCCCATTGCCCTCTGGACCCCCATCCCCAGGGCTTTCACAGTCTCCGGGAGCCAGAAAACGGGGGAGCACAACCCTGTACGAGTGAGGTGGCAGAGAAGCGTAAAAAAATGGGAAGGGAAAGGAAAACCCCAAAGCCCATCTGTGAAGGCGGGAGTCGGGCTGTGGGGAGAGGATGCCCAAGCCTGGCAGGTTGGGGCAGGAGGTCACGGCTCCTCCTGTTACGCCCCCAAGGATGCGGCAGCAGTGCCCAGATTCGTTTGTTTTGGTAGGGTTGCTTTTCAGCCAGAGCAACAGTCTGATGGAGCCCCACACCTTGGCGCAAGGAAGGCTGGTGTGGGTGTGTGTTATCACCCGCTTTATCACTCTGTCATCACAGGCATTTCCCTCCGCTCTTTCTGCACTGTCTCACCGGGTTTCACCATCAGCATTGCTCAGACCCACAGTCCTTTACCCCATGTGGGTCCTGCTCAGGCCAGGACATGTCCCTGTCCCTGTGGCACAGTTGTCAGTGACTCTTTTGCTGTTTCAGCTGAAATACCATGCAGGAACCAAACCTCCTGCTCCTGCTCCCATCCCTGTGTCCGTGATCTCTGTGTCCTTGATCCTTGTGTCCCAGCATCCCTGCGTCCCTGCATCCTTGATCCTTGCGTCCCTGTGTCCCTGCATCCCTGTGTCCCTGCGTCCCTGTGTGCTTGATCTCTGCATCCCTGCATCCCTGTGTCCTTGCACCCCTGTGTCCTCAGCCCTTGCATCCCTGCATCCCTGCTTCCCTGTGTCCTTGATCTATCTCTGCATCCCCATGACCCTGCATCCCTGTGTCCTCAGTCCTTGCATCTCTGCATCCCTGTGTCCTTGATCTCGCATCCCTATGTTCCTGCATCCCTGTGTCCACAATCCTTGCATCCTTGCATCTCTGTGTCCCTCTGTCCCCATGACCCTAAGACGGGGTGGCTGGAGATGTCTGCAGGGCTGCTGGCTGGGCTGGCGCCTGGATGCAACACCTTCTGTGGGCTGCACATCCACAGCCCTGGAGAGATGGAAAAGGGCCAGTGGGCTCTGCTCTGAATGCCATCACTGTCACCCTGGCGGCTTTGAATGAGACACCCTGTCCTGGGGCAGCAGCTCTCTCGCGGGTGAAAGGGAGGTGGCTCGTCTGGCCTGGGGGCTGTTCGGGGTGGGATGGTCCCTCCCGTGGTCACCGCTGGTCAGGACAAGGCTGAGGATCTTGTTGGGGCCCCGTGGCTGTCCACTAAATCCCATTCCCAGCCAGGAGCACCTCATTCCCCTGGTGCCACACCACAGCAGCATCTCTGCAGCTTTGGTTCCTGCTTTTCCTCATTCCTCCTTGGAGCCTGGAGGTTGAGGCTTGGTTCTTGGAGCATCCTTGGAGCTTGGCAGGTCCTTCATTGGCCCTCGTCCCTCCTCGTCCTCTCCTCCTGCATCTCTTCTCCTTTTCCACTTGCCAAATGCAAGAGCTGGACGGTGAAAGACAAGCTCATCACAACAACCTTATGATGGAAAACAGCTCTTTGAAAAACCAAAAAATCCCCACCAGGATTTGGGCAAAAGGGAATTTCACTCCCCTTCCAAATAATCCTGATTCTTGTAGGGGAAGGTTGGTGATGCTGCGGGCCAGCCCCGCAGCTGGCTTCCTAGCAAACCAGTCAGGCAAACCGCAGTGCTTTCTCCTGCCTCAAGTCCCAGCTTGCTCCTCAGGCCGGCAGGAATGAAGCTCTCCCCGCTGGGCCTGCTGAACCCTTCCCTTCCCCCTTCCTCCCTCCCTCGCCCCACCGCCTTCCCCGGGGGCTCTGCTGGACACCCAAGCTCATGGGTTCTGTTCTGTGCCCAGGGCTTGTTGGGGGGCTCTCCCCTGGCTTCCTTCTTCTGCGTGGCCAACGCTCCCCCGCCCCAAAGTCCTTGCATCAGGCTTTGCATTCCGTTGCAGTTATGAGCCACCTCTAAGATGCCCCCTCCATGCAGAGCATTGTGTAGCAGGCGCTGGAGCAGAGGAAGGACCCGCGGGGTGGGGTGAGTGGTGTTATTTAGGGGAGATGCACAACCCCGTGCACACAGGGGTGGCTATGATTCCCTCCGGGATGCTCCATGCACCAGCCGTGGAGCAGCGCGAGCATCCTCCAGCACCCGGAGCTCCTTCTCCATCGTCCCCAGCCCCAGGTCCTTCCTGAAGCCCATCCTCCTGGGCCCGTGGTGGGGACCAGCCCGGTGTCATGGCA